GTATATGCCTCCATATATCATTTATATGCCTCTATAACGATATAGTAGAACATAAATATGTAACACCAATAATGTTGTCGCTAAATCTCTTTAGCAACAAAAGATAGAGACAGTTATGTATTTGCCTCTAATTATGAATTTGGAGGCTTATACGTTAACCTCTGATGTTTAAAATAAAAGGCAGAATATGTGTTTGCTATGACCTCTTTTAAGGCAAATATAATCGATTCATCGTATTGTTGAAAAAAAAGAGGTGCTCTATCCTCTCTCCTCCTTTTTTGTTCACTGCTCGGACGATGGTTAACGCGGACTGTCATCGCCATATTCGCTGCCAGCTTGAGGAACCAAGAACACTAGTATCGATGGTATCGCCCCTCGGAACGTGATCGTCTTCCTACATTGGAAATGACAGTGATCACAATCAATAGCAAGAAGGATGGCAATCTCCTAGCAGCCGCGAATCCCAAACCGAAAATGGCTCTTCGTGAGATTGTCCGGCGTAGATCACGGTGGCTTCGCCTGAAAAAACGATCGCATCAGAATGCTTTTGCAGCACTTGAGCTCACAGAAGAGCGTCCATCAAAGAGATGTAGGCATGAGCCAATGAAACAATGGAGGTTCCAGCTCCCTCACTCGTCAGAGCTAGACTGTGATGAATCTGATCTAGCCACGTTCGCAGGGAGCGATAATTAGAACACACGAATCAAAATTGAGCAAAATGAACAATGTGATTGTTTAACTCAAACTATACCCTTAGGGGATGGGGTTATTCCCGTGCCGCCAGACTGAGACTGGGATTCGATTCCCGGTTAGCGATTTAACCGATAACCGTACCAGTAACCGCAATTATCGGTTAAACCATTAATCGAGCGGTAACGGTTGTCGGATGTGAAGAATGGGATGACGGCAATATAGAAACCCGGGTGCATTGTAACCATCGGAAAACCGGTTGTCCGATACCGGAATTGCAGGGACGGCCGACGTTAGTAATTCGCTAATTATCCTAATATAATAACTTCTCCTTCATTGTACTATCAGGAAAAGGAATTATAGATTAATTAATTAAATTACTAAATTAATCTCGTCCAGATTCCAGAACTTCTCTTCCTCTACTATTAGGCTAAGCTAATGATAGAAACCGCCGCCGAGTGGGGTGAGCGGGTAGGGTTGGGTCGGCCGTATGCGCCGGGTTTGAGTGGCTGTTTTGTTATTTCCTGTTAGTTCTCTGAAACTCATAAAAAGGGTTTCAGTACGTTCATTTTGGAATTAAGCAATAAGAATATCAAAATCCCTAAACCTATCTTTCTCCTGTTATTCACCAATTCTCTCAATCCCTAATATTCTTCTTCTCAATCCCTAATTCTCATTCTCAATTCCATTCTTCCCTTCAAAGGTCTATCATTTGGTATCAGAGCCAACATGAGCTCATCAAGGCTCTCCGATCTGGAATGGGCTCGCGTATGGCAGCAGATTGAGTACACGCTCGCTGAGCTCAAACGGGAGGCACGTGACCATGAGTGGGCTGTGACGGCGACGGTGGAGGAAACCCCAGCCGCAAGGTCGGGCGCGACGCCAGCCACGACGCGGCAGGAAGGCGCGGTGGCGCTGTCAACGTCGGAGGGCGTTGCGGCATCGGAGGGCGTTTCCCCTCGGTGCGCGGCGGTAGGCGAGCAAGGCGGGGAGCTCGGGGGAGCTTCGGAGGCCGGCGGCGAGGCTTCTCGCGAAGCGCGTTCGGCGACGGGTAGGGCAGGGGGTTTGGCGGCACTCTGTCGTTATCCCTCAACTCGACGATCGGGCTGCCTACTCCGGGCACGCTTCATTTCCGAGCCTAGGTGGGCGGGCAAACCGCGTTGACTTTGGTGGATAGCGGCGCCTCGCTCAATTTCATCAGCGAAGAGTTTGCTAAGTCCCTACCATTGGCGGTGAGTGAGGTGGAGAAGGTGGTGGTCCGGGTCGCGAATGGTGCACCTATGCAGTGTACCACAGCCTACCGCAGGCTCTCCCTCGAAATTCAAGGGTTGCCCATGACCGCTGACTTATTTGTGCTACCCATCAGAGGATTCGATGTCATTTTGGGCATTCCATGGCTGCAGAGTTTGGGTCCGACTACCACCAATTGGAAGAGCCTGACCATGAGATTTAAGTGGCGAGACAAGGAGTGGAGCCTGCAAGGACTCACCACCGTCATGGGCCCTATTTCCATCCATGATTGTACCGAAATGGGCGAGGCTGACTTCGCGGTGCTGTGTTGGCCCGTGGAGGCTTCCGAGGCGTATGAGGTGGCTCCAGACCTCCAACAGATACTTGACAGGTTTCTAGATATCTTCCAGGCACCTATCACCCTTTTGCCGCATCGACAAGTTGATCACCACATCCAGTTGAAGGACGGGGTGGAAGCTGTTAATGTCCGTCCCTACCGATATGGTCATTCACAGAAAGAGGAGATTGAGCGGCAGGTGGCAGAGATGCTCACCACAGGCCTGATTCGGCCCAACACTAGTCATTTCTCTTCACCGGTACTTCTGGTTAAGAAGAAGGATGGGACCTAGCGTTTCTACACTGACTACCAGGCTCTCAATGTTGCGACAGTGAAGGATAGGTTTCCGATTTCGACGGTAGATGACATGCTCGAAAAGATACACGGATCGACCTACTTCACTAAGCTCAATTTGTGGGCTGACTATCACCAGATCCGGATGCAGGAGTGGGATGCGCACAAGACAGCTTTTCGGTCTCACAACTGCCATTATGAGTACCTAGTAATGCCTTTTGGGTTGTGCAACGCTCCTTCGACCTTCCAGGCGGCTATGAACGACATCTTCCGACCCTTACTCCGTCGGTACGTACTGTATTCTTCGATGACATTCTTATTTACAGTCCATCGTGGGAGGCCCATTTGCAGCACTTGCAGTCTGTGTTCGAGATTTTCTAGCACCATCAGCACTACCTCAAGGCTTCGAAGTGCGCCTTTGGGGTTCAAAGTGGAGTATCTGGGTCACATTGTCACGCCGCAAGGGGTGCAGATGGACCAGTCGAAGATTCAGGCTATGGTGGAGTGGCCGGCCCCAACCACCGTCACAGAACTGCGAGGGTTCCTAGGTCTGACGGGTTACTACCGGAAGTTCATATGAGGGTAAAGTATGATTGCCCATCCCTTGACTATTTTGTTGAAGAAGGGCAGGATTGTATGGACACCAGAGGCAGACACAGCGTTCCAGCAGCTGAAGCAGGCATGACCACCACCCCGACCCTTGCTATGCCAGATTTCTCCCGGACCTTTGTGATTGAGGCAGATGCCTCAGGCTGGGGCATTGGGGCGGTGTTATCACAGGATAGGCACCCGGTGGCCTTTATGAGTAAGACCTTGGCTCCATCCAAGGAAGCTTGGTCTACTTACCAGAAGGAGATGCGGGCTATCATCACGGCGGTACAGATGTGGCGATCATACCTGCTGGGACAGAAATTCCACATTTATACCGACCATCAGAGTTTGAGGAACCTCTTGGAGCAGCGAGTTTCCACTCCCGATTAGCACAAGTGGGTCTCAAAGCTCATGGGTTATGATTATGAGATCCATTACCGACCAGGACCATCCAACGTCGTGGCAGATGAGCTTTCGAGGCGCCCTGGGGGTTAGATACTGGCGGCGGTGACGGGGCCGGTGCCCCAATTTTGGGACGCCCTGCGAGCTCTTACTGAGACTGATGTGTATCTGCAGGGATGCCGGGATATAGAGGTCAGCGAAGCTCCGGGTCATTATTCCTTTCGGCAGGGGCTGGTGTTTTTTTGAGGGCGTCTTGTGCTTCCTCGGAGGTCTTCCCTAGTGACTACCGTGTTGCAGGAGTTCCATGACTCTCCGCTTGGAGGGCATTCTGGGGTCGAGCGGACATTGCGGTGAATTCGGGCACATTTTTACTAGCCATAGATGGGTCAGGACGTGAAGGACTATGTAGCTTCGTGTGACACCTGTCAGTGGGTCAAGGCGTCTCATCTGCGACCGGCGGGTCTTCGGCAGCCGTTACGTTTTAAAAAAAAAATCTCAAAATACACACATTATAAAAAAAATCTCAATCTACACATGTTTGGGCATCACCGCGGTCGTCTACCGTGAATGCATCACCGCGGTGAAGGCATCACCGCGACCGTCAACCGTGGTGAAGGCCTGATTTAAGACTGAATTTTCAAACGAACGTAACTTTGCATTCTTTTATCTGATCGTAGAAAAAAAAATTTGATTCCGCATAATTTTTGAGATCTTGAAAGCCATAGGCAGTTTGGTCCCGCTAACAAGCAATTTTTTTTTTGTTTTGAAACCCCTAACAAGCAATTTTTCGATTCTGCCCAACTTTGGAAGGCCATAAGTTTATGCTCTGCAATCCGAATGTTACGATTTTTTTTTATTTTGCATAAATTTTTCAGGACTACAACTTTTATCATAGCCATAATTTCAAAATGTATGTGGATTTGTGAAAAGTAAAGACAAATTTATTCCCAAAACTGCGTATATCCAAAAATATTTCTTGTTTTGAAAATTCCTTCCTAGTAAAAGTTGTATTTCTTAAAAATTTATGCATAATTAAAAACAATTCATGACGTTTGGATTGCGGAGCACAAAGATATGGCCTTCCAAAGTTTGACGAAATCAAAAAATTGCTCGTTCGGGATAGCAAACGACGTTTTTACAAGTTGAAGACGTGACCAAACCACCTGCAGCTCGAAAGATATCGAAAAATTATGTGGAATCAAATAAAATTTCGCTACAATCGGATAATTGAACACAAAGTTCCTTTCGTTTGAAGTTTCAACCTTATATCAGGCCTCATCCACGGTGAACATGTTCACCAGGTCCACGGCCGCTATGATGTCAACACATGTGTAAATTAAAAAAAAATTGTAACGTTTGTATTTTTTTTAAATGTATATTTTGGAATTTTTTCATGCTTTTATCAGCCCTGCCAAAAACAAATGTGGCAGTCTCCCTCTCTATCAAAGCAAAGAAAAACCTCTCTCTAACTCGCTGTGCAAAGAAAACCTTTATCAGCTGCCCCGTGAGTTTTTGTCCAGAAGGGGAGCGCTCTCCCTCTATTCACAACTCCAGCAAAGAGCAAAAACAGAAGGAAAAAAAAAAAGGTAACCCGAAAGTAGGCAAATGTTCTCCCACCGACGAATCATTATTACTTCTTTTCTCAGCCGCCATTTCTTCTTCGCCTGAGAATCTGAGCATTTTGTGCAAAAGGATCGCTGATTCGCTGCAGAAGGAGTGAATATTGAGAGGTTCAGATTCGCAGAGAAAACTCAACTTGGGTTTTCCCTTTTTACCATTTCTGGGTGTAGAATAATGAATGGTGCTACGGATTGCTTTGACTCTGAGTTCGTCGAAGTTGATCCCACTGGAAGATACGGCAGAGTCAGTCAAAACTCTCTCTTCCCTCTCTCTGTCTTCATTCTCCTTTCTCTTACCCGATTTCTGGGTTTCTGATGCCGCTTCTCTTATTTCCTGTTTGGGTTTCCTCAGTATAATGAAATTCTGGGCAAGGGAGCTTCAAAGACAGTGTACGATTCCTTCTTCCTCTGTTTTCTGCTTCTGCGAAAATCTCCATTTCTTCTAGTGATGCCCATTTGGTGTTTCCGAGGAATCTGGTCTTATAGGTGTCTATGATAGGTTTCTGGAACTGGGTGTCTGTCAGATTTACATTTCTTCGTGAGTTGGAACTTGGAAGTTCATTTTGGGTCTTGTTTTCTTCAGTTACAGAGCGTTTGATGAATATGAAGGGATTGAAGTGGCATGGAACCAAGTAAAGCTCTACGATTTCCTCCAAAGTCCTGAAGATCTCGAGAGGCTCTACTGCGAGATTCATCTACTAAAGACGTTGAAGCACAAGAACATAATGAAGTTCTGTACTTCCTGGGTGGACATTGCAAATAGAAACATCAATTTCGTGACTGAAATCTTCACTTCAGGGACTTTGAGGCAGTAAGGGGTTCTTCTCCTTCGCGAAAGTCAATATTTTGCCTTAATGGTTTCCATATTGGTGAGTTCCCTTTTGAATACCCTCTTTTGGTGTGCTTTTTTGGTATAGATATCGGCAGAAGCACAAAAGAGTCAATATTAGAGCAGTGAAGCATTGGTGTAGGCAGATCTTGAAAGGGCTCCTATATCTCCATAGCCATGACCCACCTGTGATTCATAGAGATCTCAAGTGTGACAACATCTTCATCAATGGAAACCAGGGTGAAGTGAAGATTGGAGATCTTGGACTTGCTGCTATCCTAAGGAAATCTCATGCTGACCATTGTGTTGGTATACTGAAAACTGCCTCAAACTCCATCTGCAATCTTCTCTTTCATTAGCTCGACTTCAGTAGCATGAATCTTTTGTTGTGGCTTATCAGGAACACCAGAGTTTATGGCGCCTGAAGTTTATGAGGAGGCATATAACGAATTGGTTGATATATATTCCTTTGGAATGTGCATATTGGAGATGGTGAATTTCGAATATCCCTATAGTGAATGCACTAACCCTGCTCAGATATACAAGAAAGTCATCTCTGTAAGCACATTTGGTTAACTTTTTTTTCTCCACTAAGGGAGAAAAACGGGTTTCTTGAAGTTTAAAGTGACCAGTATTTTTGTTTCCTTACAGGGTAAAAAGCCTGAATCTTTATACAAAGTGAAGGATCCAGAAGTGAGGGAATTTGTGGAGAAATGCTTGGCCACTGTTTCCCTCAGGCTTTCTGCTAGGGAGTTGCTGAACGATCCTTTCTTACAAATCGACGAGTATAACCCCGATCTCCAGTTATTAGATTATGGAAAGGATGTCGAGGAGATTAGTCCCTATATGAGGCAGCCCTACCTTGATCTTCATAACGGCATGTATTCTTCCTACAATAACAGATATAGTTATGATGCTCATAATGAAGTGGAGTACAATCATCCTGCTGAAATGGAGCATGCAGGGATTGAACTCTTTGAGTACCACGATGATGAAGACGACGATGATGATCATCCTCCCAACGTTGATATCCGTATTAAGGGCAAGAGGAGAGATGATGGTGGCATCTTCTTGAGACTTCGTATTGCGGACAAAGAAGGTTAGGGACCTTACAACATGAAAGTATCAACATTTTTCATGTTTCTGTTGCCAACTTCTGAAAATGAAACAAAAATCAGAGAACCAAATGGAAAGTAAATATGCCCTTAGCTTCCCATTTGCTTTTGAAATTCGACTCCTCGTCTTTAAATTTGGTTTCTATTTATGCAGGCCGTATTAGGAATATCTATTTCCCATTCGACATTGAAACGGATACAGCAATGAGTGTAGCGACTGAAATGGTTGCAGAACTCGATATAACCGATCAAGATGTGACTAAAATAGCAGACATGATAGACGGTGAGATTGCTTCCTTTGTACCAGGCTGGGGGCCAGGGCCTGAAGGTCTCAACGAGATGCCTCGGTTTGCGAATCAAACTATCTGTCAGAACTGTGCCTCAACTCGAACCTCGACCGGATCGCTCATTGATTTTATGTCCAGCAACCTATGTTGTAGAAATGGCTGTGCTTCAATGCATGGCAGGTTTGAAGAGGTGACTTTCCAACCCGAGGATACAGATCATCATCAATGTGCTTCAAATGCTACAGCTCGCTCGCATCATCATCGACACACATGGGACCAGCACGAGAGCCGTGACATCACTCCAGCAGGGTCCGGGACCAGCCATTCGGATGAAGAGTATGAGAAGCTCGTTCTTAAGCATGTCATGGAGAATAGTGAGATTGCTTCTCCTCCAAAGAAGTCTGCTCAACATGCTAGGGGTTCAGGGTCTTTCCGTGAGCTGGCTTCATTGTACAGAGACCTTGCAGAAGATGGTGACGAGAACGATATACAGCATGAACTACGATGGCTCAAAGCAAAATACCAGATTGAGATGAGGGAAGTCAAAGATCATCAGTTGGGAATTCTGACCACGCCCGTTGCGAATTCAAGCTCCAGGGAAGATGGAACATTGAATGGTGGCAAGGGTTTGTCTTGTTCGGTATTGCAGTCGGCATTGAATTCATTACAACAGCAAGACCAGTGTTGTAACTATATCAGCAAGAGGAGCTCCACCATTTGTCAAGCTCACCGAGCTTCGACAAGGGATTCCCCAGCAGATGATGAAACTATCTTCACTGCCAAGAGCTTCTATACTGGTTCATTTCTTCCACACTCTCTTCACAGGACTACTTCCCTGCCAGTCGATGCTGTTGATGTATAGTGTACATCTTTGTTAAGTAAGTTCCACTGATTTTTAGATTAGTATCTTTTCTTTTTGCCCCCCACATATACTCAAAATTATAGAGGCTCTTTTCCCCCCTCCACAATTGGAGTTCCCTCACAGACTGTCACAGTGACTTTGTATTTCTTTTTTTTTTTGGCTGATACTGATTCTGCCAGCCTGTGTTTAAGATATACATAGCAGGAAAAAGGGAAGAGTGAGTAACAATAATAATGCATCTGAAAGTCAAGGACATGAAATTATTGCTATCATTGCTATTATGTGACTGGTTGTTCATGTAGCAATTGCAACAACCCTGAGAAATAGTTGCAGAGCTGTGAGATCTTCTCAACAAGCTATGATTGTAAATAAGGTTGACATCATTGGTTTGGTAATGGTTTGAGACCAAAACCATAATGGAGATCGAGCTGAAGAGACTGAAGTCTGAAAGTGAATTTGGTGTCCAGTACCAGGTTGAGCTGGCTGCCTGTCTGATCATTGGTTAGTTTGTGTTGGGAGTTGGGACCAATGAAAACAAAATGAAGAAACAAGATTGAAGCAAAGATAAGAATTATATATTCGAACCACCATTTATGGGAAGAGGTGTGAATGTGACAATCATTGAGTAGACACTTGTGGGGTGTAGTGACCCAATCCCATGTGCCATATGTGTTTGCTGCCCATATCTCTCATATTCCAGTTCCACCACCGAAAATGAAAGAAATTGCCTTCGTAAGGCCATGATCACAGCCTAACTTGAACAAAGTATAAGACAAAAACTTGAGGTAATTTTGTTGTGCAAGGGGAATGATTAGAGATCAAGCTTTTGCATAATTAGTGCGGTTTTATACACACTTTTGTACCTGTTTGATTAAGTTTGTCATGATCTGATCTTAGTTGATTTCTACAAGACAGTTGGGCATGTGGGATTAAATATGGGTCAATTGATTTTTATACCGAAGAGTACTAAAGTGATTCGAACATGGAACTTCAGGTTAGCGGGCATTACTACTAGTTCAAATTCTTGTTCACCATTTTTATATAATTATTAAAGTTTGGAAGTAATGATGACAATCAACCCCGTAATTATGAGTATCCGATCATTCTCAATTAAGTCAATGCGAGAAATTCTCGCATTAACTGGGTATGGGGTAAACCATATCCGCAAAAAGTTTAATGTATTATGAGGCAAATATGGTGTTAGTCTCCCCGTCTCATACTCGTACTCATAGCTATATCCTCCCCATCAAGAGTACTTTATCCACATATAAAAAACATAGGGATTAAATTGTAATATGTCATTGATTGTAAGAGGGAATATAAAAAAATAAACAGTAGAAATGTAATTGACTGACCACCCAAAAGTAAAACCTCTTAATTCTCTCTTCACTCTCACTCCCCCTGTTAACAAGATTTAATAATATTGTACTCTATCTTATGAATTAATGAATGTTTTAGGATCATATATTTTGAATCGTATTAAGAAATATTGTATTTTGTTGATTTCATAATTTATTAGGTCTGTTTGGTGTTATAATTGAAAATCTAAAGGTATAAAATAATTAGGGTAGTATGGTAGAGCATTATCCATGGGTGTTCGAAAATAAAAAATACGGAGATATGCATGGTTTCAAAACCTTTTTGCATGAGTATGAGAGGAACATGGATGTAAATTTTTGAAAATGAAATTGTTTACCCCCTATTCCCGAAGAAAGGGAGGAAAACAGAGGGGAGGGGAAGGGAAGGGAATTAGGAGGGAATGGACACTTTGGAGGTCAAGGAAATAGGAAGGAAAATGTTGTTTTATAGAGGAAAGTGGGAAGAAAAATGTCTATTGGGAATTGTGATGAATATGTTATTTTATTGGGTATGTAATAGGAAAATAATTTGATTATATATAGATATGATTTTCATTGCTTATGAATTTGAATTAAATTTTTACTTTCTTGCTAATTTTGTTCACTATTAAAAATCAGAAGTATATCATTTGAAAAAAAAGTGTCAACCTATTATTAAAATTTTGTTTGCTATTTTGTTGATTTATCAACATAGCAACTAAAAACATAAAAAAAAATAACACATCACACTACACATACATAAATCCTTCTAAAAGTAGGCAATCGGCTAACACTAGACATATATAAATTCTTTTAAAATAAGGTGACCACATATTATTCGTAATGATTAAGACACTAGGTGAAATTTATGTAGTTATCTTATCTGAATAATTTTATGAATTATTTGATTTCAACTAATTTATTAATTTCTTACCGCGGCGGAGCACGAGCGAAAAAACTAGTAAATCACTAGAACGACAAAAAATTAGTCAAAATCATGTCTAACCATCATCCCCATATATGGTTCGGGTCTTATCCATATTTATTAAAATCAATGCTATGATCGATTAAATTGCATCTCGGTCAAAAGCTCCCATTTAATCATTTTTTAATGATATACTTATTCATTTTTAAAAATCCCCAACTAATCATTTTTAACTATAATTCATGTAACATCCCAAACCTTTTCCCGACGAAGATATTGTTCGCTTCAGCCCTCGGCCCTCACGGTTTTCGACTTGGGGTGCAATTCAAGGTAACTTCCCATAAGATCACACATTCTTGTACTCCGCACTAAGCACGTTTAACTTCATAGTTCTCACAAGAACTCCTCCATTTCACCCCAAAATACGTCTTGTCAGTTAAGATCGATTTTTTACTTATGAACCATGTATCTCTCTCGTGCTTTGTCGATGTGAGATTTGCCTAAGGTGTACAATTAATCTCCTCGTTCTATACCCACTTTCACCAAACATTGGCAACAAATAGCGAAGAAACATGACTTTGGCAAAAAAAAAAACAAACATTTTATATCCCTCTACTATTGCAAATTAACAAATGTACAGTTATACTATATTTTTGCACAAACGTACCCTTCTAATATTAAAATGTAACCGGCCTTAACTGACAAGACGCGTTTTTGGGTGAAATGGAGGAGTTCTTATGAGAACTCTGAAGTTAAACGTGCTCATTGTGGAGTACAACAACGATGAATGACTTTATGGGAAGTTACCTTGAATTGCACCTTAAGTAGAGGGCCGAGGCCCGAAGTAGACAATATCTTCGTCGGGAAAAGGTTCGGGATGTTAACATTTTTCTTACGTTTCAATATTAGAAGGATACGTTTGTGCAAAAAAATGGTGTAAGGGTACATTTGTTAAATGTCAATAGTAGGGTGGTATAAAATGCTAAATAGCGAATACAAACTAACCCAACCCAGACCTAGCCACAAATAAAATAATAGGTCAAATATGTTTAAGTTAATTAGAAAAACAAAATAAAAGGTTCAACGTGAGCTACTGAGCTTTTCTAACCCAACACTAAACTTCCCCAAATTTTTTCACCCCGTTACTATATTGCATTTGGATAACGGCGAAAAAGCCTCAGGAATAACCTTTTCCCCACAAACTTTCCTTTCCGTCATTTTCCGCCCTTAACACTCTGTTCACGAAGGAAGGGAGGAAAATGGAGAGAAAGGAAAATGAAAGGGGAAGGAAAAGGAGGGGAGAGAAAGGAAAATGAAAGGGGAAGGAAAACAAGTATTTAATGGACTTAAATATTAAAAAAGAAAGACAAAAGAAAGAACCATGTATGTGTCCCTCTCCTTTCTCTCCAAATTGGAGGGGAGGGTTCAACAGTACAAAAGGTGGAAAGTTTTCCCTCCTTCCATACTTTCCTTCCTTAAAAAACAATGGAAAACTTATTGAGAATCCCACTTTCCTTCTTCACTTTCCCTTCCCCTCCATTTCCTTCCTTAGTGAACAGAGTGTAAAAAATACAGGGTAGGCAATCCCACCTTATTCCTCCCTAATTGGAAGCTATTTATTTATTTGGATGGTATCGATTATTACATTCAATGAATTGATAATGAATTTTGGGGTTGGGTATGGCTGGCAGGCTAGCACTTAGCTACTAGCATTTTTTTATATTATCCATATCCCCCAATCATATTGACAGAATCGTCCGAATACTGATAATGAAGCTCTGGGAATGGATCAGGTCAGTAACCTTATGGTGAGTAACCATGAGTAACCCGTCCACATCAGCATCCTCTCTCTCATGGAAAGCCTTTAATTTTTCCCTCTTTAATCTTTGACGGACGATTTCTCGCTCATTTTAAGTCGAAATTTAATTTTTTTTGCACAGTTAGATCAGATTAATTGTGCTCTTCAAAATGATATCCACTTTAATATATTTTTCGAACAAAAAAAATTGAGCAATTTTTTACTAGCCTATACCATATGGTATTGACTGGTATTGAAATAAAAGCATACATATGTTTTGAAAAACGTACCATGGTGGTATGAACAAACCAATACTGTAGGATGGTTGAATACATGATAGTAGAAGTATATTAATTGTAATTTACGACTTTTAACATTGTATACCACACAATACCACCCCGTACCAGGGTGGTATTGTATGGTATTGTGTGGTATTTTTTGGTCCTGTAATTTGTTCACCCAGAAATTTGTAGATCCAATAGATCATGATGAACTCGTCCCTTCTGTGCAAACGTTTTCAAAAACGAATTAAAAACGAAGAAGATACCATACAATACCACCCCGTACCAGGGTGGTATTGTATGGTATTGTGTGGTATTTTTTGGTCCTGTAATTTGTTCATCCAGAAATTTGTAGATCCAGTAGATCATGATGAACTCATCCCTGCTGTGCAAACGTTTTCAAAAACGAATTAAAAACGAAGAAGATACCATATGGTATGCAGTTGGTACCGAGAGACCAGAATTTTTTTTCCTAAAAAGATATTGAAAATTAATCTCATTTTGTAGAGCACGGTGAACTCGTTCCATCTGTGCAAAAAAAATTAAAATCCGAGTTAAAACGAAAAAGATATGAGTCAATTAAGAAAACTAGTGAAAATAAAAATAGCCTTTAATTCTCCATCATTAGATCTGGATTTTCTAAATGAAGGGTCCAGATTTGGTTATTAATGGGTGAATAACCCATGATTATGCACCCTATCTTGAGCCCGTGCTTCCATCCCAAGTCTCCAATTTGGACACCTCATCACATCATCAGCTCTCTGCATAGTCCATACACGAATGACGAATCCCATTTAAGCCAATTAATCAACTGTAATATATTTATTTATCATATTAATATCGCATGTTACTGTTTCTACATACCCGAACTCAAAGGGTTTTCTACCATTTACACGAGCCTTTTAAATGAGTTCGCATATTATATGTGTATACTACCTTATTTTGTTCAAAATACAATTGTTGTTTGAATTTTCGAAATTGACAGTTTTGTCTTAACTTTAGAAGAAAAAGAACAAATTTGCCTCGAGATTGGAGTTAACCGTCGATACTAATAGTGGAACATTTTGACCAATAATTAATTAGCCAAAAAATGCTAACATGACTAATGCATGGCTGCCACATTATTGAACAAAAATTTATTTATTTATTCTTTTTAATTTCGTAACTAGCCCAAAAACCAAATCAAATAGCAGAAAAGGTGTATTGAGTCCCTCAATCACATCCCTCTCTATTCAAAGTTTGAAACACATTCCCTTCCCCCTCAAAC